TTTAGCAGAATGTCTTTATTCATTCCTTGAGACTCTCATACATCCATGCAATGTGTTTTCATCATATTCAATGCCTTCTTCCCCCTCCAGCCTCTCTCAGATCCCCTGCTACACCCCGTTCAATGTCACGTCCTCTTAACCAAGTCCAATCTGTGCTACCCATTCACTCATGGTGTGGGACCATCCCCTGGATCCTGGTTAATCTACCAGGGGGACCACACCCCTAACTGACTCTTCCTCCCCCAGAAGCCATCAGCTCTGGGTGGGTGCTGGTCTGCCCTTTCCATCCATGTTGGAATGTTGACTGTCTTGATCTCGTGCAGGTGTTGTGAGTTCCTGGGGCAAGGGTCTTGTCATGTTCAGAAGACACTGTTTCACGCTGTGACTCATGCAGTCCTTTGTCCTCTGTCTCACAATGTTTCTCAGCAGTGAGTGGAGGGCAGTGTGATACAAATGCCTTTTTAAGTTTTTACTTGAGCACTCCACAGACAACTGTTCTCTGTATCATGACCAGTTGTGAGTCTCTGCAAATTAACTGCTGTTGTCTGTACAAAAAAGCTTCTCTGGTGAGGTCTGAGAGCTGCACTCATCTATGGATATAAAGGTATATCTAGAAGGCATATGTCCATTTAGTAAAATTGTAGTAGATTCATCCCTAGGGCCTAGGAAGCTCCCTCGTCATAGGTTTTGGTTAGATTTTTGTATCAGGCATGAGTTTTCTCCTGTGGAGCAGGCCTTGAATCCAATCAAAAAGTGATCGATTCTCCTATAACATCCATGCCACTATTACACCGCAGACCTATCTTGCCAGGCTGGTCATCGTTAGCTCTCAGCCGTCACAGCTCATAAAGCTTCTGGTACTGTGAAAACTGGCCAGCAATCAGGCTGCTTCCAGAACAGCACCAACTTAATTTCTCCAGACCATGTGATGCATTCAGCTGTAGGGCCTTACTACCAAGTTCTGATAGGCAACTTAGAGCAGCGGTAGCCGGCTGCACAGTTTAGGGTCTCCGGGAACCCCCTCACCACCAGTAGCTTGAAGGGAGGTAATCCACACCTGGCACTGGAACATCATCCTCCCATGGAGGCTAACTCCGTATTCTGCCCCCACCATGTGTGTGTCTCTTAAAGGAAGCTTGCAAAATAGTAGGTTTCCGTAGGCTTTCCCGAACGTCCCGATGGTTAGCTGTCTCCCTCTGCTTTTAGGGAGGTGGTGGCGCATGCCCGCTCTCTGCTTTTTAAGTTGGATTTGTTAGTTGTTTTCCTCTATTATCACAGGTAGAGTTACCCTTATTTTATTATTTGTTTTCTAGTTGCCATGGTTTGGTCACACTCGCCTGTACAATCTTAACCAAATGCTTTTGAGCATTCTCTTACATCTCTGTTGTTTTAAAAAGAAAAACCTGAGCCCCCTGATTTGGCTTGGTGGAGCAGCTGCAGCGACTCCATTTTGTGGTTTAACTCATGGCGATCTGCCGAGAGTTAATATTGGACTGTTAATAGGGTTTCGTTTACTGCTTTCCCGGCCCTCTGTGCCGGTGTGATGCTATGTTTCTGAGACCTATTTTTGCGTGGATGTATGTAATAAACTGCATTGTTGCAGCTTGTGCCTGAAGCCGCCTATAGCCTTTCGAGAAAATTGAGCATGAGGACTTTTCAAATGCAGCCATATTTTTAGCCCTTTGGAACTCCTGCAGGGCTGTTTCTCTGTGGGTCACCTGTCTTCAGCAAGGTGAACTCCCGTTAGGTTTCCTCTCGTGCAGCTTTCCTAGCAAAATATTTTCCAGTTTTCATTGATCTCAGAATTGCCTTTATTCTGCCTTCATCTTTTGATGGCCGCTGTCACTGGGCGTAGAGTTTGGAGTGGACCAGGCCTTTTGTTTTTTATTTTCCCTTTCAGCTCTCTCGGATGTCATTCCAGTGTCTTCTTACCTCCGTTATTTCTGATGAAAATTCAAGTCTCATTCTTATCATTGCTCTACTGTGTGTGATGGGTCATTTTCTCTGGCTGCTTTGAAAATTTTCTCTTTATCGTTGCTTTTCAGCAGTGTGACTGTAATGGTCCTAGATTTACTTTTCTTTGTATTCTCCTGTTCCGAGGATTGAACTCAGGGTCTTATGTATGCTGAGCACACATTCTTCCATTGAGCCATACGCTGGCCTGCGAATTTATTCACTTTTTTTTTTTTTTGTCAGCAACTGTCTCATTGAGATTTTCAAATTTATTTGCATGGCATTTTGTTTTACTTACACAGAACCCATTTTTGAAAATAGCATTTTGAAAGGGGTAAGCACAAGTGAAAAAAAAATCAGAAACCAACTTTGTTAAGTATCTCATTACAGAATTGGAGATATTTAAGAACACATACTGCTCTTTCGAAAGACTGAATGAAGTTCCCATAACTGCAGTGGGTGTCTCATAACGACCCGTGCCTCCAGGTCCAGGGAGATCTGACACTCTGGGCACGTGTACGCATGTGCACATACACAGCACATGATTAAAAAGAGTAAAAAGGTTTAAAAATATTTATTTGTCTCTTAAAATTGTGCCACCCCTCCCCCCCCCCCCAACAAGGTCTTAGTGCTCTGGAGCTCACCAATTTGGATAGCCTGGCCGGTCAGCAAGTCCCAGGGAGCGTCTTGTTTCCACCTCCCCAGCATTGCGCATAAAGTCCAGGACATCACACTCAGCCTTTTTTTTTTTTTTAAATATTTATTTATTTAGTTAGTATACAATATTCTGTCTTGTGTGTCTGCCTGAAGGCCAGAAGAGGGCATCAGATCTCATTTCAGATGGTTGTGAGCCACCATGTGGTTGCTGGGAATTGAACTCAGGACCTTTGGAAGAGCAGGCAATGCTCTTAACCGCTGAGCCATCTCTCCAGCCCCCACACTCAGCCTTTTTACATTGGCTCTGGGGATCAAACTCCGGTCTTCCTGTTTGTGTGACAAGTGTTTTACCTACTGAACTATATCTCTAGTCTTGGCAAACCTGGCAAATTTAATCTTTTTTTTCTTTTTGCATGCTTATTCTTAAGAAATTATTTAAAATTATGTCTTCAGAGTTTTCTTAACTTTAATTTTGTATTGTTTGTGGCTGATACAATTGAAGCTAATGCTGGGGCTCAAGGATAGAATACTTGCCTAGCACAGGCAAGCCCCTGGGTTTGATTCCAAAGACAGAAAAATGAACATTCCAAAAGCCAATGTCAAAACACAGCTGATTCTTGCACACTGGCTTTATGCCTTATAAATGTGTTGATTCTAATGGATTTTCAGCGAACCTCAGGGGTTTGGGCATAGAAGATCGCACCAGAGGCAAATAGAGATGGTTTTACTCTCTTTCTTCCCAATCTGGATGTTTAAACTTCATTTTCTTGTCTAATTGCCCTGGCTAGTATCGCTAAGACGATGCTGAATATAAGTGGTGACGGCCCCCATTGTTGTTTGTGATCTTTAGAACTGGAAGGGAAGCGTCCAGTCTCTCATGTTAAAGTACAAGGTTACCTGTGGGATTTTTTTAAAAACCATTATGTTTGTTGTGTTGGGTCTCATGCTTAGCAGGCCAGGCTGGGGAACTATACCTCCAGCTCCTAGGAGCTGGGTTTATGCAGAAGCTGTTTCTTGGCCTGAGGAAGTTTCCATCTTCGCATGGTTGAGTGTGTTTATCATGAGGCACCACTGGATTTTGTCAAATGATTTTTCTGTTGCTCTTGAGATGATTGTGTGTTTTTGTCCTTCTATTAATATGACGTATTGCATTAATGGCGTCTCAGATGCCACTTGGCTTTGGTATTTTGTTTTGTTTTTGTTTTTGTCTGTTAATTCAGCTTCTCATTTTCTCGTTCTTTAGCATCAAAGCCCCCTGGAGGGACCCATTAAATGACATCTACAGTTGATGCGATCCAGGGCTTAGAGGCTCATGGTGATTCTCTACGGGGACTTCAATCTCTGGGGCTTTGCATCTCATCAGAAGTCCTGGGGATGGCTATAGGACTTTTCTGTTCGCTGTTATTGAGTAGCCGAGTGTAACACAAATGCAGAGATGTACGTACATAATCCAACCGCCTAAGTACATGGAATTATTCTAGCGGTGTATGCGATGCAGCTTCATATTGGGGCTACAATTATTTTTTGGAGGCAGCGGATTTTAAGTCTATTATTTATATGCTTTTTAGGGATGATAAACACGTGACGGAGAGTAAAGCGTGTAGCTCATATTTCTGGCAATTGTAATTGCTATCGATGTATTTTGTCTCTGAAAATTTGTGTACCTTCAGATTTCCTCCTTCACCATAACAAGATTTGTTTCGTAGTGTGCATTTCCATCATGTTCTTATTTTATAATGTGCATTCACATTAATTGCAATTTCCCTCTCTCGGATGCATTTGTCTTTTCCGTGTGGGCTCCTTCACTTGGCCGCACTGTCGTTTCATTGATGATGTATCTGCTAATTAATGTTTCTCCTCTGAACGCCTGCCCTTTTTTTGTTGTTGTTGTTCTTGATTTCTCAGTTCAGCTCTATTTTTTATTTCAGCTGCAATTACCGGGACTTCTCTTCCACTCTTATTGGCCTGTGACCTTCTCTGACTTATTTATAATATTTACATGTTTGCGAAATTGACAATCCATCCTCTGCCATCAGCGGCCATCAAGTATGTAAGCATCGCTTTAAAAAAAACGGTTTCAAAAACCAGTTATCTCTTGTGGTTAATGTATGCAGCAGCTTTCGAAACCCACAGCCAGGTCTTGGATTGTTAGCGCTTGTCACTTACGGAGACGCATGGAGTCTTGGTCATTCTTCATTACGGCGAACTACACCTAATAGGAATTTCGCATCTTGGCTGCTGTTAAGTAGATGACGCCTTTGGTCGGCTAGTGCTCACGTTGTTCAGCCATCAAGGCTTGCACAGGAAGCAGCATTCATTTCCTAACCTTTCGGCTTCTCTTTCCTCCTCCCTCGCTCCTCTTCCGCTCACCACCTGTTCTTTTCCTTTAGATGCCGAGGACTTCCTGGCAGAGGGCTTGCGGAACGAGACCCTCAGTGCCGGTGCGCAGGACCAGAGAGACCACATCCTCCGGGGCTTCCAGCAAATCAGATCCAGGTTTGTATCGGCCCGCCTGGCTAAGCTCTTTCACACACAGGATAAGTTAACAGTAGCGTGCACCTGCCACAGGTTTTCACACTTGGCAGAGATTTAGGAATCGATTTGGAGGTAGGTGAGCGTATTGAAGTTTCCCAGCACAAACACATTTTGGTGATTGTTGTAAAGTAATCAGGTTGATTTGGGCTTCGTATTTTATGTTAGCATTTATGGAACACCTTTGTGTCTGACAGCTGCAGAAGCATCGTGGTGAAATCGGGACATTTCTGCTTGTTCAGACCACTCAAGAGAGAATGGCAGGGAAGAGACTTCTCGTGGTTTTGGGGCCGACCCCTTTGCAACAGAAAAGTTCAAATCGGGCCTGGTTAGGCGATTTTTTGATCGTACTGATGTGAACTAGTTCCGGGCTGGGTAGGAACACGGTGCTCGTTAAGTTTTTAAAATAAGAAGCTCTGATCCCATTTGCTCATCTTAGAGTGTGGGCAGCTAACAGATGCTGGAAACATAGACTTCCTCAGGGGAGGAAGAAATCAAAATTTCCTTTACAGTCCATTTCCTGGCTGACTTTTCTCGGAAGGCGGCAACTGAAGGCGGCAGGATGGTTACTCCTCTGTCCTCTGCTACCCGGGTGAGCCTGCGATTCTGAACCTTGGAGCTGAGCACTCTGAGAGCGCAGGGTTAGGGTTGGGATCTAATTTGCATAGCTTCGACTTTCGGCACCGGTGGAAACTTCCATCCTTCGGAAGGGCACAGCCGGAATCTATTCCCTGCAGGAGCGTGAGACCCTCACGAGGTGCCCTGCTGGATCTTAATCGACCTTTCCCGCTGGCTAATTAAGCATCGCTTTTCCTCGGCGACTGGGGACTGTGTAATTATCAGCCTGGGTTGCCCTGAATAATTGAAACAAGCACAGCGCTGAAGATGGGTACTACTTTTTTTTTTTTTTTTTTTTTTGTTAAGTGGGGCTATCTAATTTTTGGTAGGCTGTGGAGTGTTGAAATTAAACTCCTCCATAGCATTACTTCATTAGTAGATAAGTTTAGACTTAGTTATGCACATGGAGGCTTAGTTAATGGCCCATAGATTTTCTTTATCTTCATGAAGTTCGCCTTTGTATTATCATAAGGATCGGATAAAGAATAAAAGCGGAATTTTAAGTTCTATTACAGCGAGAGGGAAACCCTGAATGTAATAGGGAATGTAGCTGTTCCGTTGATGTAAAATATGTGATATGGAGTGCAGATATAATGTGGTTGATTTGTAGAGACAAATATACGTATGTTCTCATACTTCCATCACATTAGGGCAGGTCTAAGCTTCACCGTTAAACGGGCAGTGGGAAGACAGTGTGTGGGCATCCTCTGTCACTTTTATATCACTTCCTTTTAAAAGAAAGTGTTTTCTGTGTGTGCGGAATTTGCTTGCTTGTGTGTCTGTGGACCACATGCTTGCCTGGTGCTCACAGCAGTCAGAAGAAGGCACTGGGTTCCCTGAAACCGGAGTCACAGACAGTCATGAGCTGTTGTGTGAATGCTGGGAACCACGCCTGGGTCTCCCGGAAGGACGGCCGGCGCTCTCCATCTGTGAGCCACCTCTCCAGCCCCTCTCACATTACTCTTTAATCTTCGTTTGAAACACATGCACGCACCGCACACACATATACACACACATACACACACACACACACACACACAGCCTCAGCCCTCGCGGAATAAAGGCTTCTGAAGAGCAGTCCATATGGTCTGTGGATTATACACTTGAAAATGATCAGCAGCCAGCGCTTTAGGAAACATCTGTAGGTTGATGAGGGCTTTTCTGCTCATGGATTTGTTGCTGGAAAGATGACACTTTATTTAGAATTTCATAATTATCAGATGACTGAGGAAATGAGAACCCGGAGATTAGATACCACACAAGAAAATGGAGAAAGGAAGTTCTCCTCTAACGCGCAGTCGGAGGCCGCCTTCTACCCACCTCTTCAATCACAGTGTCGCTAATGGAATCCTTGCTTTCCGGAATCTTCTTCAGCCACGTCACTTCGACTGACCCACCTGTGGCTGGGCCAACGTTCGTCATTTGTGTGTGTTGATACCAATTGCTTTCAAAATACTGAAAATCTGCGAAACTGCCAGCCACGTTTACTTATGTGGCATGGCAGCTGCATCTACCCCCTCTCCCCAAAAGTGAGATGTGAAAAAAATTTCAAAAATCATCAAATCTGAGAGTCAATTATACACGAGAAATCCTGGAGCAATAGAAGAATTACTGGAGGCCATTTTCAAATGTCTCATCTTTAGACACAGCAAAGCAGCAATGCTTTAGGAGTTTGGCAAGTGTGTGTGTGTGTGTGTGTGTGTGTGTGTGTTATAGTTTGTATGTATTCACATGTATTCCCGCTCTATTGTTTTATAGCTTAGGTTCTTTTAGCTCTTCAGCATTCCACTGCAGGGGAGCAAGACTGGTGAAGGGAAGCAAAAACTGTTCCTTCGGGTGAGACTTGGTCGACTCTGGGTGGGGCCTTGGCTCTGGTTTTTAATTCCTGGCTCAGAAATCACTGACATTTGCCGTGGTGGTGGAGTTGCTTGAATCGTAGTCTCGAGCTCTATGGCCGCCGGTGGGCTGGGCCCTTTTCCACCTTTGTGTGGTCCAGGATGACTGGCCACCGAAAATGATAATTGTGTTGAGTCGGCAGCGTCCTTGGCACGCTCATCAGAACGTCAGTATCCATATCATAGCTCTTATAGCGAACAATGGGGTAAGATTTCTGTAGCTGCGTTTATTGTGCCTGAAAGAGCCCAAGGAAGGATGCGTTCTAGCATTCTTCACCTATGACAAAGCAAATATGGACGGACGTTTCTACGGTTCCGCGGAAACGAAGCCTGGTCATGGCATTGATGTCCCGAGCTATGCCTTTCGTTGCCGCTCCTCAGACTGTCTCCTCGCCTCCGAAAGACTGACAGCTTCCACATTCCAAGTCCGTGCCCTCATTGAGTTTTTGCAGCAAGACTGGGAGGAAAGTCGGCAAAGGCTCCTCCCCGCTTTATAGTTGTGGTCACCCCAGGATTAGCTCCAGATGTGAGACACCTGGGATGAAACAGGCCTGATCTACGCTCAGAACTCGATGACGTACCTCCGCATTTGGAGAAACAGTAGGGCTTTTCTTCTGTGTTTGATCCAGCGGAGGCCATCTGCCAGCACTAACACACGGAGTGAGGGTAGGGATGCGGAGCAGAAGATTTTTATCACTGAGATACATATCACTCCTCTCTCGAGGGCCCTTCTGGGGACTCCTAACCCACATGCTCACTGTTGGAAGTCAAGGCCAGAGCCAATGGAAACAAACATGGTGTATTATTTCCTTGTGTGAAACTTAATAATACCAGAGGAGTTCCAACAGGAGACAAGTGGATTTATAAGATGTTTAAATGGAAAAAAAAATAAAGAAATAACTTTGTGTAACAGGTTTATGGCCCAAACTCCACAAACCCCAGGACATTTAGAATATAGACAGAAAACCTATCTGGAACAGGTTTCCTTGTGGGTGGCTAGCCATTTGCTCTGTATGAAACAGGATACACTATTCTCAAGAAAATCCCATAAAAAGAATTCTGATTTTCTTTGGGAATCTTAGGTTTTGTTTTTTGCTTAACATGAGTTTAGTTTGAAAATCAGATTAAATCTGAACAATATCTATGACTCTGATATCTTTGTTATCTTAAAAAGAAACACAAGTTAGTCTGGTAAAACTCTTGAGAGCCAGCCCGGTTTTGAAGTAGGACACTATAAATACCGTTACCATTAAGGGCATAGATTTAATTTACTTAGTCAGTTGTTGAGCTTACAAATTCCCCAAGCAAACACATTCAAATGAAGGGTTTTTTGTTTTGTTTTGTTTTCTGTTTTCTTTTGTCTTGTTTTAATCAAGAACACTAATGTCTAATATGCTATTTGGATATTTGTGTATTCGTGAGATTAAAGATTTGCTTATATCTCTCTACCTTAATCTCTCTGTCTCTCTGTCTCGTGTGTGTGTGTGTGTGTGTGTGTGTGTGTGTGTGTGTGTGTGTATGATGCCTGCAAGTGTATCTGTAGACTAGAAGATGGCATCAGATCCCCTGGAACTGGAATTACAGACAGCTGTGACCTATCATGTGGTTGCTGGGAATTGAACCTGGGTCCTCTGGAAGAGCAGCCAGTGCTCTTAACCACTGAGCCATCTCTTGCAGTCCCTAATTCTGCGATTCATCCTGGAGTTTGAGTGCGAGTACAGAAAAACAGAGGTGCAAGACGCTTGAATGATCTGTGCAAGTGTGAACAGCTCTGAAAGGCGCGGGAGCCACAGCATTCCCTGGACCAGTGCGTCTGTTGGTGAGCTGGATGTGGTGGCCTGCTCCTGTGGTTCCAGCACTCAGAGGCCAAGCACAGGGCGGGCTGCCATGAGCGAGGCCAGCTGGGGCTACAGAGTGAGACTCTCTACATAAAAAATAATACACAGGCAAACAAAATCCGAAACAAACACATCCACCGCTAGAAATAAAAAGGAATGTCTTCATTTCTCATCCCTCTTCTTCCCTTCTCCTTAGAGGGAAGAAGCGATGGCCGGCTGGGACGGCTTCGTGGGTGAAGGTGCTCTGCCTCAAGCCTGACAGCCTGAGTTCAACCCCTGGGAACCTCTATAGAGGGAGGAAAAGTAGTGACTCAAATCTGTCCTGTGGCCTCGATGTGGCACGTGACAAATGCTTGCACAAAGTAAACATGTAAATAAATATGTTCTAAGAAAATCTGAAAGGAAGGAAGGAAGGTGGGAGCGGGGCTGGGACACAGCTTAGTAATGGGCCCTGGCCTAGCTTTCACGAGGCCCTGGGTTTTGTCACTGACACCACAGATAAACACAGAAAAGGAAAACTTACAGCAACTGCAGGTTAGCTATGTGTCAAGTGTCTGTATTAGCGTTTGTCACTGAGTGAATGCGTATGGAGACGGCACAGTGGTGCTGAGAT